AAGTTAAAAAGCTCATTCAAAGCGAAATTTTTATTTCCAAATTAAACCCAATTGAAAAAGAAGCTTGGACATCTGCTGTTAACGTCTTTGAAAACTTTCTTGGTAACCATCGAGCTGAAAATTATATAGAAATTGTGCAAAAAATGATCTCTGCGTATGGCAATATGGGAGTATTAATGTCATTAAAAATTCATTTTTTGCATAACCATCTAGATTTTTTCCAAAATAATATGGGTGATTACAGTGATGAACATGGAGAAAGATTCCACCAAGACATAGATTTAAAGGTAAAAATTTGGTGCACATGCTCGGTGAATACTGTTGGTCACTTTGTCGTGAAACGGCAACAAACTCACTAAAAAGAAAAAATAAAAGGCCAAAATTTGAAAAATAATTGAGTTGTATCAAATATTTTTATTAAACTAAATAATATCAGACAGTTTGTTTAATTGTGTTCAGCGTTAAAACAATTTATAAGGTAGTATTGTTTTTTTTTTACTTTTGAGTATTAAAATTTTATGGACGTAATAATAAAGTAGTTACAGCCTTATGATTATGTAAGAGTTCTTTAAAATGCCCTTTAAGAACATTTGTAAGCTTAAATAAAAAAAATAACATTAATATTTAGTATGGAAACTTTCTACGAATTATCTTTAAATTTTGTGTTTAAAACCAAATAAAAAAAAAATTTGACGTGTACAAAAAAATCGCCGATACACGAGTCTTTTTTTTTATCGTCTTCTATCCGATTTTTCAAGTTTCATCGATGCGGGCAATTTTGTGTTGTACGGTGTAATAAAAGTGATTTTTGTTCTGTTAGATATATACATTACATAACTTATACTATATAGCTATTTAATCCTTTTTTCTAATCAAGTTTTAATTTTATAATGTTTAGAATATTAATTTTGTTTCATGTTTTATTTTTTTAAATTAACCCAAAATTCTCAATTTAAGTATAAAAATTTATTGTTAAAATAAATCGTTTTGGAGGTATCCAATACCAAAAAACACAGTAAAAAGTAAAAATAGTCATTAATATATATAGTTTTAGTTAGTTATATTTTTCTTAATTTTTTTTGGTAAATTTACAATTTTTTGTGGGTATCTATTTTCACTCGAGAAATATTCTCCCTAAATACTGCTTCCCAGATAATTTTGTATAGGCTTGTACAAATTTTATTTATTCTTCGAACTAGAATTACAAACAACTGCGCTTTCATTAAAATTATCGGGAATTTATAACCCCCGAAAAAATTATATTTTTCTACTCCCAACTTCAAAACGCCCATTATCGTACATGTTTCCATGACACTGACCTTTTAAATACACATTGACAAGTTGTGGCTTTATGGTGTTTTAGTCACGGGCTGAAGTTAGCAACAGGTTTTTAATCACGGGCTGAAGTTAGTTGACAGTGGTCAAATGTCATACAATCGTTAAAATAAAGTGCTTTTGTAAATAATACCCTGAATATTATTTTATTATCTTATTACAAAAATATAAAATTATTAAATAGTTTCTCAACGACAATATTTGAAAAGTTTAAATGTACGTTGTACTGACCTTTTGATTTCCCAGTACTATACTATACTATACTTATATTGTTTATATTTATAATATTTAATATAATTTGTCCTAGAAAAAGTATGCAACTCGTTTATAAACATTTCTGGACATTTATTTAATTAAACACTCGCTCGCAAGCTCGCTTATGACTAAAATTGCGGTTATAAAACTTACATAAATAACATACTATTACAAAATCTGTAAAAAATTACTAAAATTCAATAAAAACTTTTATTTGCATTTTAAATTGTTAGTTAATAAACTATAGTTATAAACTTGACATTGAATACCGTTTGGCTAAGAAGCCAAAAACTGCTATTATATAATTTTAAAAGCATACTTAGTCCTCTCATTTTAACTTTTAAACATTTAAAAATTGGTAAATCAATAGTCATTATTTTTAGGCAATAAATAATTTTCAATTAATATTATTCATGTTACAACAATCTATTAGTGTAAAACATTGCTAAAACGTTTTAATGTATGTAGATACTGCACGAAAGTAAAACCCAAGTAAATTGTAAAATTTCCAATTTCCTGTTTAGGTATTATTATCCTTAGAACCCAAGTTAATGTTATGTACTAATTTTAATTACCTATTATTAATAAAATCAATACCTACTAAAATTCATTAAATTATAAAACACCATAATTACAAAGTTGTTTATTTCACGTGATTTATTAGACAATATTTGTAGTTTATTGTAGTTTAATAAAAAGAGGATTTTAAAATAATAAAATAAATGTTGTTAGTAAATAAAACAATTAGTTTATTGATTTAATGAAACAATAATTAACAATAAATAAAAATAATTATATATTTAAAAAAATTAACGCAATAAAGCTACTGTATTTTTATATAACTAATAATAACTAATTAAAATTATTTATATGGCACTTAATAATAACAATTTTTTCAGTTTGTTTACTGATTCACAGTCCACAAAAATGGTAAATAATTAAAATTAATTGGTTAAACTTACGGAATTATTTTGGGCTGATATAGCCATAATAAGTTCTGCTTCGGCATATAGGCTATAATATAGCGTATCCATTTTACAAAATCACAAAAAAACTTGTTTAAATCTCACAAAAACTTAAACATTATCAAAGCTTTTGGAAAGCATCCCTGGCGAAAACTAAAATTACTTTTGCAAAATGTTAGTTGAATTTGAAAGTGTATATTTTCTCCCTTCTTTGAAACAATTCGAAAAAATATTTGCTATTTCAGCATCGGAAGTTGGAGGGGCATTTCTCGTTTCAGTATGTGCAATATACGCAATTGGACTCGTATAATTTTAGGTTAAATTATTATTATGATTGTGTGGTGTTTTATTTATTTTGTCAGATTTATTTTGGTGAGTTATTACGGTGTTTTAGTATTATAATAGGTTTTTTATTATCTTTCCATTAAATTACAAAAAAGCGTTAATTGATCAATAAATATTACAACATTTAACAAAACACATTTTAATTTAATTAGTTAAAACAGTGGGTAAAAAGTTAGTAATAATTTTGTAACATTTTCCAAATATAAATATAAAATACATTGACGTATTTTTCATAATATTTTTACAATTATTTTTTAAACTAATAAGTCGTTTAAAATTAAATTTAAAAAAAGTATTAAAAAATGACATAAATTTAAATAATGGAATGGAATATATTACTTAACAGGTGTATCGAAAAATCCCAAACGATAAATAATAAAAGAAAACAAATAATTTTAAATATTAAGATTCATATTCATGGTTATTTAAGTTGTTAACCTCTAAATAAATATTTAACCTTATGTAATGCCTAAAACTAAAGGCAAATAAATCGTTTGAAATAGATATTTAAAATTTAATATTATGGTTTAAAAATGTTAAAACTGTTATAAATGTTTTTAATTTTTTTTAGGAATTTACTTTAAAAATACAGGGTATTCTACTGTAAAATAATAAAGAAATATTTATAAAAATGATATAAACGTTATAATTTAATTTAAAAGCCGTAGCCAAGGGAGACTTAACACCCCTTGAATTTTAGAAAATATAACAATGAATGAATTTTTTTTGATTGCACCCGTTTTTTATTAAACACCCTCCCCTGAAACTTTTTTAGCTACAACCTTGAGTGGTTATGTACAATAAGTTAGGTCCAACTAAAAAGTAAGATTTTTTTAATTTTTAATTAAATTTTTACCCAATTTGCTAAATTTTATACAAACCTGAACTTCTAATTTAAATAAAAAAACATATTTCTCCTTATTTTCATTTGTGCTTTTTAAGATTTTTTTCTCAAATTTAATTTTGACATTATTAATAAACAAATTAAACGGTTATATTTCCCAAAAAATACATTCTTTATACATACTTCATATTACGTCAATTTTTTGAGATGTAAAATTTTTAAAAATTGACGATTTTTTCTTTTAATCAAAATTGATCAATTTAGATATTTTATTTTAAAATTTTTGTGTAATAATGTGGTTTTCAAAAAAAATTTTTTTGTTGTCGAGATGTTTTGTCTTAATATACATTCAAGATAAAGAAAAAAACAATTTCTTAATAATTTTTTACCTATTGGGTCCCCAATCTTTTTTTTAATCAATATTTTCATAAGAAGAATTATAATCATTTTTTTTGTCCTTTAACCAATTTAACAAGCTTAAAAAAAGTTTTTTTTAAACAATTCAAGCACCTTTAAAACACGACTTTAATAGAAAATATCATGAAACACCGCAAAAGATTTTTTTAATTTTTTTTTTAAAACACGTGGCATACGAATAATTAAAAATAATTCCAAATCGATCAATTTTTCAAAAAGGTATGGACGATTGAAAAAAAATCTTCAAAGTTTTGAAATTTTGACATCTAAAAACCATTCTAAAAAATCTTTAAATATGTACAAAAGCATATCCCAATTTTAGCAAAATCGCGATGCAAACTCATTTAATACGAAAATTTGGCCGCCCCCACTCTATTAATATATTATAAAAAATAAAATAGATTATTTTACTTTATTTAATAAAAACATTCTTACGAGGAACAATACATTTTATGAAAATAAAATTAATAAATTAACACCTAAATCTTGAGCTATACATTTATTTTAAATATGATCCTATTTTAGATTTTTTAGGACATATTATAAATGTTGGGTTTTATTAAGAAACAAACCGGTTTAAATTAGGGGTCATTTAAATTTAATTATATACATTATATATATCATGAACAATTAAAAAAAATAATTTAATTAATATTTATAAAAATAATGTCTTTATTATTTTTTAAAATTAATTAAAAATCTAAAAAATTCTTTAAAAAACCTCTATTTTTTTTTATTTTAAAAATGTAATATATGTTTTAAAGCTTATAATAATAATAATAATATATTAGATGAGAAACATTAAAAAGATGAGAAACATTAAAAACATAAAAACTTACTGAATTGTTTTGCTTAGACATTGACATGATGTACTCGGCCTCCGCGTACAGGGTATCCATTTTAAAATTGTTTGAGTCCTTTTCCGAATAAAAAAAGTCCACAGGGGCACAAAAATATTCACAAAACCGAACGCCTATAATTATAATTAGTGGCACGAAACGATCAGTTTGTCCGAAAATGAAAGTAGACGTACAGTGTACTATATGTTCAAAATCCGAATGACTTTTACAAAAGTTTTATAAATTGTTACACTATTAAACAGAATATGCCATTATTATCCCTTCCTGTTGTCTATCAAGATAAAAAATAGAATATTTTGTACTTTGCCCAGAGTGGGGACAGACGTTTCAGATGTGATCAAATATGAATTTCGAGGTGGGGTGAGTTAAGAAATTTTTTAGGCAATTTCTAGCTTTTCGAGGTCATTTTTCGAATATTCCGTAAATATTTTGATCTTTTCCCACCTTTACTAACACTGTACATTTTACTCATTTTCAATTTGTTTTGCGACACTTGCGTTTAAAAATCTTTTTAAGTGTCCTTTACATGAATGAGGTGCTTCTATGTAGTGTTTTACTTTTTCAGATTAACATGTTTAAGAGGTACATTAATAATATATACAAATAAATTGGTATTTTAAATAATTTTTTTCATCTTTTGTATAAAATACAAATTCTACAGACTTTCAGTTTTGAGGATGTGCATTTTTTTGTAGGAATATATTATAACAGGGTTAAGTTTGGGTGGTGAATTTTATTTGAGATTTTATCTTACATCTAAAAACTGTCAAGAGGTTTTACTTAACTTTTCTTCAATTTAATACACTAGTGCATTAAGTGACTTAATACACTAGTGTAGATATTAAATGTAAGAGTAATTAATATATTATGTATTAAGTTTTATAACCGCCAGTTTTTTAGTTGGCATTAAGAAAATATTTAATATATTGTATTAAAATAATAAAATAATTTTAACATTTAGTATTATTTTACAAGATTGTATGACATTTAACAACTGTCAACTAACTTCAGCCCATGACTAAAAACCTGTTGCTATCTACAGCTCGTGGCTAAAGCGCCATATAGCCATAGCTTGTCAATTTGTGGTTTTAAATTTGTTTTTAAAGTAAAAACAGAATATTATAATAATTAAAGTTATATAATATATATTATACAGAATTCCCAGAAATTAAAACAAACACCTTATAGAAGTTATAATATCCTTAATATTATTAAGGATACAAAATTTAAAAAAAATATCTAAGGGGTAGTTTTTTTAGTTATATTTAATATTTATGTTAAAAAAACTTCATAAGCTAAAATATTATAAATCTTAAAATAGTTAGATAGTACCATTTAAAAATTAAGATGATTAATAGATGTATGTTGATGGTTTTTGTCAAAAAATCATTAACTTTCTAGTTTTTATTTTTAATCCTTCTTTCAGGTAACTTAAAAGCTACTCCTTGAGTGGTCCTTCGCCATTTTTAGGACGCCCTGTATTTTATTAAATTACTAAACGTTTGGGACTTTATTTAACAATGTAATAACTTTAAAATACTGTATGATTATTTATTATAAAAATTTCATATTAGGAATATGGTAATTTTGTAGGTACTTACCTAACATTACTAAACATAAAAATTGTTTTACTTGATATTGCTAAAAGGATATAAACTTAACAGATTTGTAAGACATTTTTTATAAATTTAATTTTGTTTACAGTCGATACTATAATATTACGAGGCGCATTTGCCATTTCTTTTAAATAATAATAATAATTAATGAAATCAGAAGAGAAATATCTTAAATAATTAAAATATTTAGAAATATATTTTTTTAGGTAAATTTAAGGTAAACCAAACAAATAAATATTTTTTTAAAGATAAGCTAATTCTTTTTATTTATCTGTTTGATCTTTGCTTATTATACATATAATTGTATTTTTTAGGTCATATCCTCTTAAATATGCTGTTTAAAAGGCCTAAATCAAGACAATATTTTTGTTATTATTTCAATCTAAATTATAAATAAAGGGTGTCCCTAAACTCATATACAGCGTAAAAGTAGTGGATAGGGGATGACATTCTTAGACGAAAAGTTCTTTGGCGTTTCTTGATTTGACGCACCCTTGATTAGTTATTTATTAAATAAATTAGCGAATCAGAGCTACCTCATTCTGCTAAAGCTAAGTTTTTAACTAAATTTTGGTATACAGGCTATTGTAAATTACCTTTACGAAACAATATGAAAATATTGGAAAAAATATATTTATGGCTTTTATATATACAGTGTGTCCGCGGATGGACTTAACTATACTTATTATACTTAAATTAATATTTAAAAAAAAATTGAGGACGATATAGGAGACATGACCGAAAAAAGCAACAACCTGTAATTAATTAAATAAATTGCTAAAGCCGTATTTATAATTCCAATATATAATAGTTGATAACTACATAATATATTTGTTTTTAATTTGAAAACATATAATAAACCTATCATAATTGTGAGAAAATAACGCACCTAAATTAATTATTAATTAAGTGCAAATATATACGTATTTATAATTTAATAATAATAAAATAAACAAACAAGTACATACATTTTTTTATTATTTAAAATGTATATTATATTTATTATTTGTTCTTCTTGCATAAAAAGATTAATATAAATGTATTAATTTATTTTTTTGGTTAAACAGTAACCAACCATAATTGTTACAAACAAACAGAGCATTTTTGTAACATTTTTTTAATTGGTTATATATTTAATGTTTGCAATTCTTTTTTAAAAACCACGCTTTTACACTCTATTGAACAGCTTTGCTTAATAATGAGTAAATTTATTATATTATTTATAAACAAATAATAATGTACCTATATCTTAGTTAGTTACTAGTTAAACAAAAATCCCCCTAATTAATAAAATTAGGGACACAGCTAAGTAAAATTAAATAATAAATGTATATTTACTATTAGTCCAACTGGTGTATTTAATAATTGACCAAAAAATATTTTTACTTATTTCGAAAATTGGTTTGATGGAGACTTTAACTGGATTTGTTGAATTTGCGCACGTTTAAATTACCCCTTCCCTTGGATAAGGTTTTTTACATTCGTTATAGTTTACTCTTCAACTAAGTCTATATCAATTTAAACCATACGATGTACTGGAAAGAAGTTATTAGCGTCCAAAGTTTAAATTCGGTTCTTTACTAGCGTAGCTCTTTTACAGTGCATCTGAGACCCCCTCATCCCCATTACTTTTTATACTAGAATTAATTTTTACTATTTCTAAAATCATCCCGATTGGTTGATTATATTTTAAAGAATCTCTGTAATTCATTTTTATCACTTGCCTGCATTCGATTGGCCTTTGGTGACAATGCGATAAAATGGGACCATGGTACCATATTTATATGATTTTTATAGTATCATATAGATAAGTGGAGTTCGCTTATAAGATGGTATATATGGCTCCATGGTTATGGTACCAAGGAGCTATATACGATTTTAGTCCGTTTGAGACAAAAAAAGGCCAGATATAAGCGATTGAAAAAAAAACCTAATCGAAGATGGCTGGGATGGGTGGCCATCAAATCAGCAATAAAATTTTCCCAGAAATTTTTCGGCAACACCTATAAAATGTCCAAAATTGTACTGGACTATATAATTAGTAATAGCAATAACAGACAAAGTAAGAATAACAAAAAAATAAATGGTAAAAGAGTTTTTATAATTTACAATGTTAAAAAAAATTGGTATAGGAAAAGTTATCTTCATTTCCATATTTCTGAAATCTTTAAAGATCAAACAACTAATGTAGATTGAAATTTGAATTTGCGTAAACCACCAACACATTGGTATATGTTAACGAAATTAGAAAGTTATGTAAGAAAATCAGAAATGTTGAATCATTAAGAAATGAAACTAATTAAATATTTCGCTAATTTAATTATTGATCAATAAGAATATAAATTGCATTTGTTTTTTTAAATGGTGTTTTAACATCTTATCAGCGTTAGGATATCTAAATTAATATTTTAATATCTAACTAGCCAAAGATAAAAAAGCATTTATATATTGAACAAAAATATATAAATAGACTATAGTTGATTTTAGACCTTAAGGATGTTTTTCTTATAGTGACGCCTTTGTTGATTTATTGATGGCAATTTCCAGTATCTGTCTGATTTTAATTAATTTAAAAACACATATTTCAAGTTCCATTTGCTCAAGTTATTTAAGTTTTTAAATTAATTTTTTTTCGTCAATTTTAGCCTAATCAATATGGGGTCGGGTTCAAAAATGGTGGATGCCCTTTGTAGGTATGCATAATATATACGAGGTGTGTTCAGAAAATATCGGGAATTTTCGTTTTTTGAAACAAATATTTATGTATTCGTCTACATTAATATTGTCGCCTTCAAAATAGTCCCCATTGGATCCCAGGTAGCATACTGACGTCTGCTAACGTTTAAATGACGTCATTTCAACGTCATGTAAACGTCAGCAGACGTCAGTATGCTACCTGGGATATTATGCGCCAGCTCTTCTTCCAATACTCGAAACACTTCTAAAACTCGATCTTTGGGATAGCCTTAAGTTATTTCAGCGATGCGCTTTTAATGTCATCTATGCTTGCAAAACGACGGCCCTTTAAGGTTCTCTTTATTTTTGGGAATAGGAAAAAGTCAGACAGAGGCATGTCTGGCGAATATGGAGGCTGGGGCATCATTACAGTATTGTTTTTGGCCAAAAATGTTGTTCAAAATTTAACAATTTTGGAAAAAATTTCATGGGATGACCCAATCGATATACCAACATCATCAGCGACTTCTCTGATGTGCTTGTGCGTCATCTTCAACGTCTTCACGGCCATTTTGGAAACTCTTATACCACTTGTAAACTCTTGTTTTACTTATAGCAGACTCACTATAGGCCTTTGTTAACATTTCACAGAATTTAATTAATTTTTTAAGCAAAATTGGATACAAATTCTTTGATCCATTTCTTTTAACGAACGAAAATCGCCGAGCTCATAAAATACGTCTAACATTAGCGGCGGCCACAGACAAAGTAAACAATGAAAACAGCTAAAGTTTTTATCATACTTCGGGGGCATGTATACCAATATAATAAAGAAAATTTTATGACAACCGGACCCTCCGAAACCGCGAAATTTAACAATTACCGTTATTTTCTAACACACCTTGTATAAATAAC